AGAGGGGGGGCCCTCTCTTCTTTTCTCTCTTCTCCGCTCTTTCCTTCATGCTTCGCCCCTCGCTCCGCGATACGCAAACAATTGCATCACGGACGCGCTGCTACTTTTGAAGGCTTATTACACGCATGTGGGTGGCTTCGTGTGCTGACGCGAAATACGAGAAATAAAGAACTCGCGAGAACCACGAGGATGCACACGGTAGCATAATAACTGTAATCAATTTTCTTTCATTACGCCGTAGCTTGTATCGATTATTTTTTTTTTTTTTCCAAGCGTTTATATTCAATCGTACTTAAAAATGAAAAGCGTGGATAGTTCTGCTAAATGTTTAATCTTTAAGCGAAATCGAAGGTATCTCTGTACGCAGTAACGAGCAACATCTCTTTTCTGTTTGATTGCAGGCTGCAAGATCAAAGCTCTCCGAGCGAAGACAAACACTTACATCAAGACGCCAGTGCGTGGTGAAGAACCCGTCTTCGTAGTCACAGGTCGCAAGGAGGATGTAGCCCGTGCGAAGCGCGAGATCCTTTCCGCCGCGGAACACTTCTCGCAGATTCGGGCGTCGCGCAAGAGTTCGCTGGGTGCTCTTCTGGGCGCGCCACCCGGGCCGCCCGCGACAGTGCCCGGTCACATAACAATTCAGGTACGAGTACCGTACAGAGTAGTGGGTCTGGTCGTAGGCCCTAAGGGCGCGACCATCAAGCGAATTCAGCATCAGACGCATACCTACATCGTGACGCCGAGCCGTGATAAGGAGCCTGTATTCGAGGTGACGGGACTGCCGGAAAGCGTCGAGGCGGCCAGACGCGAGATACAAGCCCACATCACCTTGCGAACCGGCACCGCGCCCGGAGTTGTCGACGATACCGATCTATTGGGCGCTCTCTGCCGCGGTGGTCTCGGCTCGGTCCTCGGTATTCAAAGTATCGATCAACCAGGATCCAACAGCTCCAGCAGCTCCAACGCGTTCTCCAGCAGCGCTAGTTGCAGCAGCTCGTCCAGCAGCTCCGGCGGAATGATGAACGACTTGGTCGCTATCTGGAGCGGAATGGAGAGGGACGAGGGACTCGGCGAGTCGCCGTCGTTCGAGTCGCAGCCGACCTCGACGTCGTCTATCTGGTCGTTCCCGAGTGTCACGCTACCCTCGAGACCCTCGCCGCCCGCGACGGCGAGCCCGGCATCGCCCACGGACTCGCTTCTGGGCGGTGCACGACGGGACTGCGTCGTATGCGGCGACAAAGAAGTCAAC